AAAAAAAAAAAAAAAGAAAGAAAGAAAGATAGGGAGGCTCTACCTCCTAGGGAGAAATACAGCAGTATTGTCTGTGATGAATGAGTAGAATTTACTTGGGCCTAATCTCTTTCCAAAATTGAAACAGATCTACTGGCTGACTAATACTTCTGGGGCAGGGGGTCCTATTAAGGAGCTCTTATTGTCAGGAATTAGGGTGAGAACAAGAGCAATTGGGTTCAAGGCTTGGGGTTCAGAAAATCTTCCTGCATATAAACCGAACCTTGGCTTAGAACAAATCCCATTTTATGTCTCTTAACGTGATACAGAAGAGTAGGCAACATGAGCATATGTAAGCTATTTTAAGCTGATTGATGCCAACACTAATGGGTATTCCTATTTGAAGTACATTGACATCCTTTCAAAAGTCATTTAGACTGAAAGTTTCTTTTATTGGAGGCAATATGCATTGGTTCTCAACTCTAGCATGCATAGGAAATCTCCTTGAGCTTCATACCCAAAGATTTTGACTTAGTGTGTCTGAGGTGGGGTATGGGAAACTTCAATTTCAGTAAGCGTTGTAGCTGATTTTGGAGCAGGTGGTTTGAGGACGTTATAGCATAGTTCTAAGGCATACTGTGAGTCTTGGAGATAGTCAGGTGACCTCTGGCAAGATGCTTAATCTTTGTTAAGCATCTGTGTTCTCATGGCAAAATGAAGATTATAATACATGACTATGCTAATATATAACTTTTGGGATTTTGCAAGAGTTAGATTGGATAAGTAAAATAGTCTGTCTAGTCCTAACTCACAGTATGCACTTAATAAATGGTCTCTATAAAAATTACATTTGTGGGGGGAATCTGGGTGACTCAGTCGGTTAAGCAACCAACTCTTGACTCAGCTCAGGTCATGATCTCTTTGTGAGATTGAGCCTCCTGTAGGGCTCTGTATGGACAGCACGAAGCCTGCTTGGGATTCTCTCTCTCCCTTTCTCTCTGTCCCCCCCCCCCCACTTGCTGTCTCTCTCTCTCTGTGTCTCTCTTTCTCTCTCTCTCTGTCTCTCAAAATAAATAAATCTTAAAAAATTGGGTTTGGAGAATCTGGTTCTGGTTAAGATAAAGTAAGCACACTTCTCCCTATCTCTTCCGTTGAACGCAGCGATAAAACCTGGATAGAATGCACGGAGCCATCTATGAGAGGGCGTAAGAGGGCTCTGAGAAGTAAGTAGTAGGAGGAGAATTGGGGAAGAACACCAGAATTTAAAGTATCTCTAAGGCAGCAGTAAGTTTCTGTGCAATGACTTCCTTATACAGTGGAGCCTGAAACATGGAAGTAAGCACTAGGAAACAGAGCTGAGCCCTACGAGATGCCCTTTCTTCCTAGAGTGAGGACCACAAAAGTGAGCTCTAATAGCAGAGAGAGTGTGGAAATCCTCCGTCTTTTCTCCCTCTCCATTTTCTCATGCCCCACCCCACAAACAACCCCTGTAATGGCATCAGCAGATGAACAGGAACTAAAACTCTGAGGAAGGAGAACTTTCCTCTTTATCTCTGAGCAGTGATCCCCCAGAAAGAGGGGTGAATCCCTGTAGCCTTTTTCTCTCCCCCCACTGCTTGGCCTCCACCCTGCAAGTCTGCTGGGGAGTAGGCTACCTAAGGGGGAGCCCCAGGGAACTGGAAAGAGACTGCAGAGAGGCAGGAGCTGTGGAAAGCAATCCTTGAAGTTGTTGGTGAACCCCGCACTCACCTCTGAGCTGCACATACACTGATCTGGTGCTAACCAGCACCCCAGAGGAGTTGAGGACTGAGTTACGGAACAGATGACTGCCCAGGTGGCAGCATGACCATTAAGTAGGGCACATGTGGGACAGATTTGAATAGCACTGCATGCGCTCAGAACTCCACTACCTCTAGAACCAAAGCACACCAAAGGTGGGTTGTGGGACTCACAGCCAGGACCTCACCAGGTCAACTGCTTGCTAAACACAATAACAACAAGATTTTTCTGTAGGATTTAAACAAGACCCAGAGGCTCATAATATAATATTTAAAACGTCCAGGATACAATCCAAAATTACTCAGCATATGCAGAGCCAGAGCTTGCATGAGAAAAGACAGTCAATAAATGCCAATGCCAAGATGACACAGATGTTGGAATTAATTTACAAAGGCTTTAAAACAGCTATTATAAAAATGCTCCGATAGGCATCACAGACTTTGTGGAAATAAATGGAAAAATAGAAATGTCCCGCAAAGAAATAGAAGATATGAAGAAGAACCAACTAGAAATTCTAGGATGGAAAAATACAGCCACCAAATAAAAAAAAAAAAAAGCATCTCCTCACTGGGTGAGCCCAATAACACAATGGGGATGACAGAGGAAACTAGTCATGGAACTCGAAGATAGATAAGTAGAAATCATTCAGTCTGAACCACAGAGAAAGAAAAAAAGAGTCACCTCCCCAAAAGTCTATGCTGAAAAAATATTTGAAGATGTAATTGCTGAAAACTTCCCAAATTTGGCAAAAGACAAAAACCTACAGATTTAATAATTTCAGCGAACCCCAAATAGGATCAACCCCAATAAATCCATGCACAAACACACCCAAGACTACCCGCTGAAAAGGAAAGACCAAGGCAGATGTTTTGAAAGCACCCGGAGAAAAACGATATATTACCTGTGGGGGACACGGACACAATTGACTGCAGATTTTTCGTAAGAACCTGGGAGCCCAGAGAGAAGTGGCACAGAGGTGTCCTCCCTGAACTCTATATCCGGTAGAAATATTCTCAGAAAATGAAGGTTAATTAAAGACATTCTCCCTCCCTGTCTCCCCGCCTTCCTCTTTCCCATCCTTCTCTTTTGAACAAACCCATACTTCATTATTTCTTTTGGGGGAAAATGCACCTCGTTGGAATGCTTCCCATGGATTTAGTGCTCAAGATGTCAGGCACTTTCACTGACATGACTTCATTCCGTCCCAGGCAACACTGCTTCGAGCACGTAAGCAATGGTTGCGATCACAGCACCCGGAATGAAGCGGTCTCTCTAGGAACATTTTGAATGGCAGCGTGGCTGAACACAGAACGATAATTATTGTGACCCACTGTTTCGTATCAACTTTCAAATAGAAAAGAGGTCTAATATGTCAAGTTTAGAGAAGGACATATGAGGATATCCTGGTTCCCATTGAGTAAAATCACTGAGTGTTTTTTTTGTTTTTTTTTTTAAACATTTATTCAGTTTTTGAGAGACAGAGAGAGACAGAGCATGAGGGGGGAGGGACAAAGAGAGAGGGAGACACAGAATCCAAAGCAGGCTCCAGGCTCTGAGCTGTCAGTACAGAGTCCAATGTGGGGCTCTAACCCACAAACTTTGAGACCATGACTTGAGCCAAAGTCAGATGCTCAACTGACTGAGCCACCCAGGCGCCCCACTGAGTGTTTTTTATTTTATTTTTTTAATGTAGCTTATACTATTTCTGGGTGAGGCTAGATTTACAGATTTAACCTGTGATTTGGTGAAGGCACTTGCTTTTCCTTGAAATGACTTATTCATTCTTGGGGAGGGAAGAGGTTTCCATTCCTGGACAAGGCTGGAGGCCATTCTGGGATCAGGTGTGGTGACAGGGAGGGTTTGAGAAAGGACGCTCTATGTGGTGTCGCTTTTTAAACTCTGGGAGAGTAACGCTGTCTTTATTATTCCTAAAGGAAATGAATAAGTGAACCATGCAAAAGAGAAATGACACCGTGGAGATGCTCTCTTTACTCCAGGGAACCTTCTTCACTTCTCTGTCCTTTGTGAGATGATTAATGGATTGATTTTATTTAAACTGTGGGAAACAAATGAAACCATTAAATGTTTATATTTAAAGCAAATACATTACTAGAGGTAGTGAAGCTTTCTGTGGGCCACATGGCCTGCCCAGAACCCATAAATGCTCCTTCTGACTTTCCAACACAACTGCCAAACACTGCCTCCACACATTCTTTATAAAACTTCTTTTCCATTCCAAATCCACTTGGTACTTTCATTACGGTCTTGTTAAAATTGCAAGATGTCCAAAGGGACTTGCAAGATAGATTTCCCTTTATTGAGGAGGAGCAAAAGAGGAAGTGTATAAAAGCATTTCTATTTGTTATTCCTTCAGGGAGACATATTAAAGAAAAATAGTGACACTTCTATAGGAAGAATATCTTTTAATTTGACATTATTTTAATGGTGAGCATTTGGGGCAAATGTATATGCTTTTCCTCTATTTTAGCACCTTGTACAACATCCTGGATTGGACTTCTGGGACAGATAATATTATTTTATTTACATGTGGAACAAATAAGTGAATGTACCTACAAGATATATGTTGATCGTGGGCTTTGTGAAAGTGCAGACAAGTACTTATGATATTGGTTCTCAGAATTAGGTCCGTTTTATCCAGTTTTGTATCTCTCTACTTACTCTCTCCAGACAAGCTTATGATGGGGATCTGATAACTCTTTCTATGCTCCTGTTTGTAGGTACCTACACAAATGTAGCAAAAACTTCTCATAAATGACAAACTCAGTCACAACATTACCCATATTAAAAAAATTTTTTGTACCGTTTATTCATTTTTCAGAGACAGAGAGACAGAGAGTGAGTGGGGGAGGGGCAGAGAGAGAGGGAGACACAGAATCCGTAGCAGCATCCAGGCTCCGAGCTGTCAGCACAGTCCGACATGGGGTTTGAACTCACTGACCGTGAGAATATAACCTGAGCCAAAGTCAGATGCTCAACTGACTGAGCCACCCAGGCCCCTCAACATTACCCATCTTGATTGCATGATCCTTCCCTCTATATTCCTTTGCTGTTCTATATGCTTTTGTCTGGAAGCATAAAGGTCAGCAAAGGATGGTGTTGGGAAGGGTGTGGTAGTCGCTGAACACTTGCACTCACAGGCAGGTACCCCCCAAATCGTGAATTATACATTAAGATTATTTTTCCTGGGGGCGCCTGGGTGGCTCAGTGGCTTAAGCATCAGACTCTTGATTTCCTCTCAGGTCATGACCTCAGGGTTCATGAGTTCAAACCCTGAGTCAGGCTCTGTGCTGACAGCACAGACACTGCTTGGGATTCTCTCTCTCCTTCTCTTTCTCTATCCCTCCACCTCCCTCTTGCTCTTTCAAAAGTAAGTAAATAAATAAATGTTAAAAAACATTATTTTTCCCTTTTAGATCTTGAATTTGCCTGAACTGATTGATGACTCCAAGTATAAAACTAACCACCTTCGGGTACAGAATAGAAAAGAGCTTATCAAAATACTATCTGCACGGTAAGCTTGGATCTACTGTGTGTACACTTAAGAATTAATGTCATTAGCATTTACCTGGGTTTTTTTGTTTGTTTGTTTTTTGGTGTTCTTTTTTGCCTTATTTAAATTAACTTGTATTTCTTTAACATTTCACAAAGCTGGTTAGTGGAAAGATATTTCAAAGCCATGTTTTTTATTTGAAAACATTTTACATGTCTTATTAAGTACTGAGTCATAACAATGATATAAATAAGAAAGTCAAATGACTTGAATTAGGTTGCTCTTCTGTAGCATGTGAGTGTTTGGGATTAGTCTATTATGAATTCTAATAACAACAATACTACTAGTAATAATGATTACTAGTAGTAATAATGATTTAACATTTTTTTTACCTTTTACTGTTTAAACAGTCTACATATCTGACCCCTTTTAACCCTTACAATCATTCTGTGAGGTAAATTCTATTCCTATTTTACAGATAAGGAAACTGAGGCAAAGAACGGTGAAGTCAAAAGTTTGTTGGCTTTTCTGTTCTCCTGTGCAGTTTATCATGATGACGTCTGGAAAATGCCAGATTGAGTTATGGGTCATAAAGGATTAATGCTAGTCAATTAGAGCATTTGATTTCCAAATTATAACATTCATGTCAGGTTTTGCTTTCATTAAAACCTGTATCAGTCCTTCAGGTATCCCTCAGAAAAGGGTACCAATCCTGCATATTTCCTACCAGTTTTGCTTTTGTTTATGTCTAAACTCCATCTACAGAATAGGCACAGGGTTCTTGTGGATCTAAATGACCACAGAAGCGATTCTTCAGTACGGAACATTTGCTGTCATCATGACCATGAATTAAGTACTTTTGTTCAAATATCATATCTTGTCTTTTGAAAGGGCCCTTGTTTTTCTGTGTAGTATGTACCAAAGTTCTTAGACAATAAGATTCTGCTACTGTAATTTTTATTTCTGTCCCCTTGGTATTTGGGGATCTCTGTGTGAATCAGCAACAATTCATTACCTATTTGCCCTTTCCTGGATCGCAGACACTTCTCCGCAATGCCTGTTTCGCCTTGTGCCCCATGCGGTCACTCAGCGGGGGGCTTTGTGTGGGACTGATGTGCAGAGAATGCAGGAGCCAGAATCAGCCTCCCCTATCCCGGTCATTTGTTAAATATCAGTCTGATTCTACCACAGAGCCTGAGAGCCCTCAGTCATTAACCTTTCTTCACATGAGAATTAGCCATTTATTTCTGCTCTTTGCCTCTCATTTAATTCATTGATAGGACTTTTTCCTTTCACACCACGGTTACCCACTTTCAATAATAGGCATTTGTGAGAACCTTATCAAAAGCTCTTTGAGAGTCTAAATAGATCGTATCCATGCTGTGAGAAGTGGACCCAAGAAAAATACAAAACTGAGGCAGATAAAAGTGTCATCTTCGTACTCAGCTGCTGGCCCCTTTTATAACATCAAGGGCCACAAAGTTACATTACTGGTTTCCCATGTCCTAAGATTTTTCTTCCTTGCTCAATTCTGTGACAGAATTCTGCTGTAGAAAGACTTTTAGTAGCATCTGTAATAGATTAATTTCTATTTTCTCTCTTCATTGTGAATTACATAATTTGTCGCCTTCTTCTTTCTACTCTTAGGCACGCAGAAGTGGAAGTTTCCTCATTGTGGAAACCCATAAGGTTCTTATGTCTTTATTCAGGGCTTAACAAGGAGTTAAGGAATCCAATCACAAGGAAGAGACTGGGGGGTTGTCTTCAGAGAGGAAATTCAATAGGGGAGGTCACATTATCACAGGTCCTGCTGTTAAAGCACAGACCACAGAGAGCCTGCACTGTTTGGAGGCTCTGTTGTGTGAGTGTGTTGATGTTTTTTGGTGCTCTCTTGTGGGAAGCAGTCTTCAGTCTCCGCCAGCTCAAGTCTCTTCTGCGTGATGGATCAAACAGTGATGAGCGGGGAAGATTAGGATATGATTCATTCCCATTTATGACCTTGTCATTTGTTTTTCTGAACAAATGTCACTGGATTCACCGGTACTGTTCAGTGCCTGGCTTTCAGGGGGTCTCTGTGAAAGTTTAAAAGTGTATCATTTTCATTAGCCGATTCTATGTTCTCTATGAAAATTTAAAAATGTTTAGTGGCTCTCTATTATAGGATGAAAGCTGGTCTTTTTAGTCTGACATCATGGTCTTCCACAGTCTGACATGGTTTTTTCTTTCCACCTTTTCTCAACATAAAGGCCCTGCTGTGGCCACACTCCCATTCGGTGGGGTCTTTTGTTCTCTGTCTGGAACGCTTCCCAGACTCACTACGATTCTGAAACATAGTCGTGCTTCCAAGGTCAGTTCCACAGCTTCATGAAACCATCCTCAAATGTCCCTCTTTGGGGTCCCAGTCAGATGACAACACTTGCAGAAAAGCAGGTGTCCTTCCGTGCTTCGTATCCAGCCTACCAGTTAACAAACACAAACAGAATCGGCATTAGCTTGTTGGGAATGGTTCTGTCAGAGGTGTGCTTGACACGCTGTTCTTTTCATTCCGCAGCAGAACCTGTGAATCACAGACACGCTAGCTCCCAACCACAGAAAGGAGGCAGGGAGAAGGGAAGGGGAGAAAGCAGCACTGAGTAGATGCTTTTAATTATCAGGAAAGCATTATTTCCCACTTTACAGATGAATATTCTGAAGTGTAGGGAGATTAGTCTCAAGGTTAGAAACATAGTGAATAGTTAGTTTAGAATTCAAAAGGCTGTATCTTTTCCCTATGTCATATTGCCTCCCCTAAAGTGGTGCACGGAACGTTACCCTGTCTTTGCTTATTTACTCAATAAATATTTATTGATCACTAGGGATAGAGAATAAACGAAACAAAGAACATTGGTGAAAAATATTGCAGGGAAGGAAAATGAGGAGTGCCAAAAGTTGGTCGTGAGGCTATTTCATTTAAGCTGGTCACGGAGAGCTTCTCTGCTTAAGGGACATTTGAGCAGAGTCCTGAAGGAGGTGAGGGAAGGGACCTGCAGAGAACTGGAAGAAGCTCTTTAGGCAGCAGGTGCATGGGTGGGAGTTTAGGGAGTACCAGAGAGGACAGTGAGCCCAAACTCAGTGATCAAAAGGAAGAGTTGGGGGGAGGTGGGTCCAGAGAGAGAGAGAGAGAGAATGGAGGGATGTGGGTCCAGGGTGGGTCCAGGGAGACAGTAGAGATAGTAGGGGGAGGTGGCCAGCAAATCATGTTTAAAATTTATGATAGACTTTATAACAACGTAGTTTCTTAAACTCGTGAAATGAAGGGATTATTTTCATCATATAGTCAGTTTGCTTCTCAGCCACTACTATTTTCTATCCAACCTGAAGACACATTTTTTTCCAGTTTGATTGAGACATGCCTGACATATAACCATGTATTAGTTTAAGGCATACACCATCATGATGTGATATATGCATGTATTGCAAAATGAGCATCCCAGTAAGTTTCGTTGACACCCATCACCTCACACTTACAGATTTCTTTTTCTTGTGTTGGGTTTTAAAATCTCTCCTAGCAACCTTCACATATACAGTATTGTTAACTACAGTCCTCTTTGTGTTCTCCTATGGAATTCATAGACTCTTTTGAAAGCCTACCAGGAAAGCCAGTCGCTTACCTCACTTTTCTGTTATTCCTGCTAAAAATCGTGTGATGCTTCTCTCTGAGCAGCCAGGCTCATTCAGGAAGGCAGCTGCATGTTTTTGTCATCCGCTGAGTTTTCCACAGACAGCACACAGTGTGTCTCAGGTGTTCTCAGGTGTTACTATTTCCCACCCCCCCACCCCCGCCCCCCACCAGGCTGGCCCTGAACAAGTTTTGCTTTTTTTAAATTTCAAGATGGGAGACTTTTCCCTTGGGTTTGCCGTTTTATCCAGGGTGTTGCAGAACGTCTGTTTACCCAGCTGCTAAGACTGAAAACGGTGCAAGGAGAAAGCATGTTAAAAGTCCCCAGCTAAAACAGAAGAGACATAATAGAGACTAATCCAGGGCCCGTTAAAACAAACCCCTTCTCTGCAGCTCCCAGGAGCAATAACTCCTAAGTCGGGGCCCCTGACACACTGAATCAGCACTTTTGCCACCGTGAGGACCTCAAGGGAGAGAGTGAACATCATAACCTGCATCGAAACCAAGAGGAGAAGGTTAAAGATGTTGTGTTAGTAGTTGGGGAAAATAAGAGGAAGACATGAAATGAGGAGGAAGGAGAAGAGAAATGATGGAGAAAATAGAAATATAATTCGCTTTATTTCTCTCCCTTCCTTTCTTCACTGTTACTGGCCACTGGCTCTGTGCCCTTGTCCTGCAGCTACAGAGATGAAACAAAAGATCTGGGCTTGTGAGGAGTTCATTATCTAGTTAGGAAAATAAGCAGGTAAAGCAGTGGCTTAAGTAGTGTTTGCTCAGGGCAACTGGTAAACACACTCACAGGGTGCCCGCAGCCCAGAGAAGGGTAACTCCCTCAACGTGGGCAAGTCCAGGAAGGCTTCCTGGAGGTGGTGCCACCCGAGATGAGTCTGTTTTTTTTTTTTTTTTTTTTTTTTTTTTAATGTTTGTATATTTTTGAAAGAGAGAGAGAGCATGAGCAGGGGAGGGGCAGAGAGAGAGAGAGAGAGAGAGAGAGAGAGAGAGAGACACAGAACACAAGGCAGGCTCCAGGCTCTGAGCTCTCTGCACAGAGCCCAACGCAGGGCTTGAACTTGCAACCTGTGAGATCATGACCTGAGCTGAAGTTGGATGCTTAACTGACTGAGCCACCCAGGCACACCCCCCCCCCCCCCGCCCCAGATGAGTCTTGGACAAATAGAATGAGGTGAAGAGAAGAGAAAAGAGAACTCAAAGGAAGAACTATCTGATCAAGTGGAATTTCACAGGGAGAAAAAAAAATAAGGTAACTTGGAAAGAAACTGATGACAACTTTTAAATTGATTTTTGAAAAATGCTGCACATGTTAAGCAAGTGTCTGTCAATATAGTCCTAGTGAAGGCGTTAC